ATAGGGGTAAGTGTACCTATCTCCGTGCTCTGCCCTATTACCGTGGATTTTGAAAAACTGATGATTACTTGCTCAAAATAAGAAATGTTTCATATAAAATAATTTTTTAATTTTAATAATCTAAAATGACGTTAATGTAGATGCAATTCAAACAGAAATATTTGTGTATATTTTGAGTAAATAATTATTTTCCACGGTATTCGGTACAACGCGCTCATTAACTGATTGTGTACGTATTTCCGCGGTGAGCGTACGTAAACATAACCCTATACTTATCCGCGGTAATACGTACACGGTAATAGGTACACAACCACGGTAATACCAGCATACCGTTTTTATTCGTTTTAAAAATATTCTACTGCAGTTTTAGCTTCATAAAATTTTTTTTAATATTCTGTTAGAGATTATGTGAGATTTAAAAAAAAAGTATTCCAAAAAATTTTAGTATACCATTTTTTATGGTGCATTTAAGTTGGAATTTTCAGCACGTGCCACGGAGATAGGTACACTGACCCCTATATTACAATTGATATTGCTCATAAAAATCATTTATTTATCATCCAAATTTACATACTTTAAAATAATACGTTTAAAAATGCTCTGAATACTATCTAATTATTTCAATAAAAATTATATAACATGTATTCAAAAAAATCATTAGCTTTACGGTGTATTGAATAATAACTTAAAAATGTCACGTTAATAAAATGTTTGTTTGATGAACATCTTTATTCTGTTAAAACTTAACCATCAATATAAACTAATACAATGAGAATAAAGAATAGTTTACAACATACAGGAAATTAATTTAATCGAACTAAGTCCCCGCCAAGTGCCCAGGAAGTACCCGGAAAGTGCCCGGAAAGTACCCACCAAGTAACCAGGAAGTACCCGACCGATTGCCCGGGAAGTACCCGCCAAGTGCCTGGGAAGTACCCGAGGAAGTGCCCGGGAAGTACCCACCAAGTGCCCGGGAAGTACCCGGCAAGTGCCCGCCAAGTACCCGGGAAGGACCCGGACAGTACCCGCTAAGTTCCCGGGAAATACCCACCAAGTACACGGGAAGTACCCACCAAGTAACCGGGAAGTGACCAGGAAGTACAAACTAAGTGCCCCAGAAGTCCCCGCCAAGTACAATACTGTCGGGTACTTGCCAGGCACTTCCTTGTCACCTGGCGGCGAGTTCCCAGGTACTTGGCGGGCACTTCCTGGGCACTTTGCAGGTACTTCCTGGGAACTTGCCAGGCACTTCCCGGGTACTTGATGGGTACTTCCCGGGCACTTGGCGGGTATATTCCGGGCACTTGCCAGGAACTTCCTCGGGTACTTTCCATGCACTTGTCGGGTACTTCCCGGGCACTTCCACAGGTACTTCACGGGCACTTGGCGGTTACTTCCTTGGGTACTTCACGGATACTTGGCGGGTACTTCCCGGTTGCTTGATAAGTACTCCCTCGAGTACTTTCCGGGTACTTTGCGGGCACTTCCCAGTCACTTCCTCGGGTACTTGGTGGGTACTTCCTGGGCACTTGGCAGGTACTCACAAGCCATTCCTCGGGTACTTTCCCGGCACTTCCCGGGTACTTGGCGGGTACTTCCCGGGCACTTGGCAGGTACTTCCTGAGCAATTCCTCGAGTACTTATCGGGTACTTCCCGGGCACTTCCCGGGTACTTGACGGGTACTTCCCGGGCACTTGGCGGGTACTTTTCGGGCACTTTCTTGGGTACTTCCCGGGTACTTGGCGCGTACTCCCCGGGTACTTCCCGGGCAATCAGTCGGGTACTTCCCGGTTACTTGGTGGGTACTTTCCGGGCACTTTCCGGGTACTTCCTGGGCACTTGGCGGGGACTTAGTTCGATTAAATTTATTTCCTGTATGTTGTAAACTATTTTTTTTTCTTATTGTGTCAGTTTATATTGATGGTTAAGTTTTAACCAAGTAAAGATGTACATCAAACAAACATTTTATTCACGTGACATTTTTAAATTATTATTCAATGCACTGTAAAGTTTATGATTTTTTTGAATAGATGTTATATAATTTTTGTTGAAATAATTAGATAGTATTAAGAGCATTTTTTAACGTATTATTTTAAAGTATGTAAATTTGGATGATAAATAAATGATTTTTATGAGCAATATCAACTGTAAAATACTTTAATTATTGCAATTTTTGAATGGACTCGTTCTAAATCGTTTACAGACGGCATACCCGGGAACGTAAGCAAGACAAAACAATATTTTTGACCAAGAGGTCAACTATTTTTGTAAAAATACTATCGTGTAGAGTGGAAAAATCCCTACTGATATGGTCTTTTATTTTTTCTTCATTTGAAGGTAACATTACTTATAAGTATAAAAATTTAAAGATGTTTTTGTCCAACATGAGAGTGAGAAAGACAGTAAGCGCGTGGATAAACAACTGACAACATAAGGAGCAGACAATAGTTACCTGAATATAAAATTTGTTACATCCAACCTTTAAGTTACCAGCAGTAGCTGACGCTCTTGCGTTCGCACATGGATATAGTTCTCACTGCTTACCGACTAAGCTCCAATAACAATGTGGCAACGTCGCGAGTTCATGCGGGCGCGCTATAGCCTTCCAACCCCATTTAGGGGTAGTTTGGAACGTATTTTCAATCGGCTCCCATTTAAAAGCTATTTGCCCTAAAAAATTAATTCCAACGGGGTTCGCGTCAGAAAAAATCGCTCTACACGCGGTTTTCGGGAAATGCCACCGTTACATATCATGCTGTATATCTAATTCGAATTTGAAAATTCTTCTTTATTTTTGAAATTTTACAAATGGTTGAACTCAGATATTTTGAACTACACATACATATAGTATATATCATTAAAAAAACTTACGTTCCCGCTAAGAATTTTTCTGCTCACCTCACAGAGTCGAGTGTCTGTACTATGACTCATGACTCTATGAAGATTCTTAAAAGCTACTTTTAGGCACAACTGTTCCACAAAAGTGCCTTATATTTTTCTTTTCTTAGTGATCTCAGGTAAGATCTCAGGTGATTTTTCATTTTAAAATGTCACCCGAGAAATTTTTTTGAATATCGTTGTTTTTCTTGAATTTTTTAATATGTTTTAGCAAAAGTAACGTATTTTAGACTTAAAAAATTTGGAAAATTTTTAAAGCCTGAAATTTATTTATTATTCTTAAAAAGGCTGGAAAATTCTGAAAAAAACACAAATCTTGGAAAAATATCTCAGGGGAGATTTTGACATGATAAATCATCTGAGATCTCACCTGATAATACTAGGTAGGGTCGCCAGAGAAAAAAGTGTAACTATGCCTATATCCTTTTGTTTTTGGTGTAAAAAGAATTTTTCACATGATATAGAGGGATCCGAATAATACCCATCGAGTGCAATAAACGCGAAATAAACCACCAGGGCTTATTCTCTGCTGGTTTTGAACAGGTGTCAACTTTTTGGGAGGACATATTGAATTCACTATTTTAAATTTTATAACTAGAATACAATTCTAATGCCAGATGCGTGATCAGCGACCTAAAAAACCCCAATAGCCACATTTTCTCAAATTTTTAAATCGTTTTGACTTTTTCAGCTGCCATATTGGATCCGCCATTTTGAATTTCGAAATTCTGATGTTATATTCGTTATCAGCGATCCAAAAAAATCTATAGGTATGTAGTTTTTCGTAAAAAATGTGTGTTTGTCTGATTAAATGATTATGATATTATAAAGATATAGTGATTAGGGGTGCGTTTAGAGGCAGTTTTTAACCTCTTAATTTTTTTTCTATTTCGGACCACTTTTCTTATACTCTGGGATGTTTGGGCTTTAAGGTCCAAAAAGAATTATCTTGATCGGCCTATCACAGCGGCCGCTATTTTATTTCGACACAAAAAATGGCATTTTTACCTACTGTGCAACGCTACGGCTGTGGCAAGGGCGTTTAATACATGCAATAAACACCATAATTTATTATCACTTAAATTCTTTAGTTGTACGGGTGTATGTGTGAAAAAATTATCAAACAAGACATCCAATGACATATGGTAAACAATTAAAAACAACGTCCAATGGTGGTACTGAGGTATTTTGTTTTTATTGTACGTATGAATGAATATATTCATTTGCGCATTGATTGCCAAATTTTAATAATTTACACCACTTTTAAAGTTGTAACTAGCAAACTGTTCCATAGTATTAGAAATCTATTTGAGAAATTGCCCTAAAAATTAATTGCAAAATTTGTAAGCTAACACGTTACACTTTGACTTGTATTTGTTGTATCGGTTACTGCTAATGCGCGCTTACATTATCACTGATCCAAAATCTTAATCGTACTTGCCAGAAAAATGGGATCAGTACTGTTGTATTGTTGTTTCCTTATATATAAAATCATAACATGAACCATCATCATTCGAACCTACTTTTTGCCGTCCATGCAGTTTTACAGGGATATCGCTGATTGGTTGACCTAATTTAATCAAAGGCGTCTTTTTTCGCTTAAATACTATAAAAATGACCCATCAAGGGGAAAAATTTCTCTTGTTACGTATGCCACCTATCCTCTAAATTTTTAGTAAAACCTTTAATTTCGCATATTGTCAAAAATTTATTGACGTGGCTGAAGAAATTGCTGAGAAGAACAGCATAAAGCATTAGGAAACTCCAAAGCAACAGTGTCGCCACGTGGCGGCGTGGCGTAGGCGGAAACTGCACGCCTCGTTGCCGTGCATTTTGCTCCTGCCAACATCTTCATTTGCTTGTAGTTTATGCATTTTTTGCTCTTCCACTTTAAAAATTTGTGAAGAAAATGTTTTAGCATTACTCTTCCGATTCCTGTAAATTTTATTTTTTTAAGCCATGACGAATTTTAGAGAAACATCCTGAACTTCTGACTCATTTTTCTCCACGAAAAAAAGGTTGTCAGAAAAAAAAAATAGCATTATCGGAAAGAGCAGATCAAAATCTGTCCACTTGTCTTTTTTAATTATTTTTTGAGCTATCTTTCAGCCATTATAAACGAATTGAACACAGCGTGTTCGGGCGAAAAAAGTCTCTCATGCGCAAGATGGCCCGCTCTCTTTGGACAAATCTATGTATGTATGTTCGTAGCAAAAAAATTTTTTCCATAACTTCACATAGAGTACTCTATCTTAATTTTTTCAGTTATTTAAAGATTTTAAAGTATTATTAAACAGACTATTAAAAAACTTTACATGTAAGTACAGTAGTTTTATTTTTAATGGTCATAATTAACATTATTAAAACTAGATATTATTTATTATGATGTTAAAGTCGAGCAGATTAACGAATTCATGCAAAAAGTAGCGTAATGTAAGGAAAATAAGCAATATGTGATGAAAAAATGGTAAAAATGTGAGATAAAAAAATTTTTAACTTCTAAGCAATTTATATATATTTAAAGAAGGTAGATGTATTAGTGTAACAGCTAGAATCATATGTCACAGCAGGGGATTAAAAAATAAATACAGGCTTGACACGTCAGAATCTTGACGTATGCTAAGAAAAACATTAAATGTAAATAGCAATTATGCTATGGAACTAAGTGATAGTAAAGGAAATGAACTGTTTGAAATATACGAAAAAGAACGTAATACTGTAATAAATGTAAAAACACTTTAAAATAGTTATCAATATAGGCAGTATAGTGTAAGTGATTTATACAAATATGAATAAAATGATGTAAAATAAATTTGAACGATTAAGTTTGAAAAAAATTTTTTTTGAACATGTGCTTGGCTGGGCCAATGTACTAAAAAAAATAAATATGCTTGGGTTTAAAAAAATTTTATTTGCAATAGAAAAAAACGAGAACTTACTGTCTAGAATAGAAATTCTCTCAGCATGCAATCTATTGATCCTACAAAAATTGTAAGCATTTTGGCGACTTTGATTGAAAAAGTTCTGCCATTGAGCGTGAATCCAAGAAACAGCTAAATGGTCACTGGTTGGATGAAAACGTGCCTTTGTTTCTCGAATATGACTCTTGTTCTCTAGAGTGTCGTAGAATATTTCCGACTGCGTTGACAGAGCAGCCACAACTGTTGCAACTGGGCTCAAGCACCTGTTAATATTAGTACAAATTTTGAGTTGTATGAATAACAAAAGTTACAGTCATTTTGTTGTTTCCAAATGATTCCAAATAAGTGAAATACAAAGAATGAAAAATGATGAGATTTTATAGATAATCAAGACCTTATCGATGCCTCTTATAACAAAGACTTAACTCAGCTTACCATGAAAAAACTCCCAACTTAAGGCTTACGATAAAGACTAGACTAAATTACTTCCTTTTGACAAAAAAGATTTCAAATTATGGTGCTCCTGTAAAAAATACTCTAACTCGTGGTCTAACTTTCAGCCATAGAATTACGAGCTGGACTTTTTTCTGCTAGGTACCACGAGCTAGACTGCTTTTCGAAGGAAAAAATTGAAAAAGACAAATAACTTATTTTTAAACTTTTCTCAGTAGACAATCACGCAAACTAGACCCAGGCAATGACTTTAAATGAATAATCGAAAAACGACCACTGTATCATTTCCAAATGCTTTTTAGAGCCATACTTATTAGGATTGACTCCAAAGCACCAGCGTTATTTACTTTTGTAAATCTCTATTAAATAGCAAGTTTTAAAGAATATCAGAAAAGGTTTATGACAGTATCACCAGTATTTCAATCCTTATACGTTATGGCTACGAAATACTGAGAGAATCCTCTATAAGGACGATCCAAATGTGGATTACTCAAGTACATTCCACACACTTTTTTTTCTCACGGAACTTACTCATACACTGTCGTAATTTTTAAGTCAACGCCGTTTCCAGTCTTATATAAGATTTTTCATTCAAGACATCAAGATGCCCTAATAGATATATAATTTCACTTGCTTGGGTACATTAACCATGTTTCAATAATTAACTACTTCGATTGCTACGTTATAATATAAAATTAAGCTTACTCACTGGAATATTGAAGAGTAAACCAAAGCTTTACTAAGTTTTGGATGAACGGTGAACAACGCTATTCGTTTTCCTAAAGCCGTAAGATCTTCATTCTCGTCTAAGGCACCAAGAATTTGTAAGTCTTGGACAGCTTTTTTAACATAACTTTGTCTAGGAGGTTGGGGCATACTTCCTAAAAAATCTTCAACTTTTTCACTACTGTAGGTCTTACAATCCAAAACTGTCTTTTCCAGTGAAACTCGAAGAACTTCGGGAAGAGGATATGCATCTAAATCACTGAATTTCTGTTTTGTTATAAAGTGATAACTTTCACCTTCACGCACTCTTCCAGCTCTTCCTCTTCTAAAATAAGAAAATCATTATTAGTACAAAGTTGTGTACATTACATATTGATGTTTTCGTATTTAATTAACGTCATGTATTTAGTGTACTATACTGACAAACCTTGATTTAATAATCCCATTCTACAACGTGAAAATAAATTTAAATAAATTTCCTTTTTAAGTATCACTTGATTTTTCAAAACTGAATAGGGAAACTGCTATCAATTACAAATAGCAGACAAGTAATAAAACCACAGCATTATTTTTTCTGTACGTTTTTTTAAGAACTGAAATTGCTACTTTTAAAGTTTCATCATAGACAAATAGTTTTTATGGTTTTTTTAGAAGGTAAAAGAATTTTCAACAAGGAAATTTTTTGGACTTGTTTTCACAGCATTTTTAAAAATCTGCAGTCAAGGTGAGCCAGTATGGTAAAGTTTATACATGCGTTGAAAATGACTTTTATTTTGTTACATAAACTGTAAAAATAATGTGTGTTCAGCCTATTAGCTACATCTTCTGGTGTCATCTAAAAAATCTTATGAAAATCTATAAAATCAGTAACATTTAGTTTGCGTGCGATAAAACACACCAACGCCTATAACTTTAAGTAATTAAAACATTATGTAAGCACAATCAAGTCAAAATAAAAGTGTTCTATTGTTTTTAAAGTCTAGTTTATGTTTTATATCAAACGACACATGTCATTCACTAAGATATATTATAAAAAAAAAGGAGACCTCGAGATCTAAGAAAAACTAACAATATTTGCCACGTTTCAGAAAAAAGCAACACTACCAAACTCTTTAAAAAAGACTAGCAGCACTTTCTATGCTCCAATGAAAAATAGTGTTATTTACTTTGTTGAAAGCAAAGAATACACTATGTAATATAGCGCTTTGCTTTTGTAAGGTTAAATGTTACATGAGACTTAGAGCCAGTTTTCAACGTTGACGCAAAGAGTATGTACTATGGAATATAACACATGGTGATATTGTAACCATATCCACCTACTTCTTAGAACTGCAATACGATAACTGATCGTACAACAACTACACTTAGTAGAAGTTGATTGAGCTAATGAGTTTTCTCCTGTGGGCTTGAGTCTTCAATTTCAGGCAATGTGATTCATTTCATTTTATTTGAAAATGTTTTTTTCATTCAAATAATGCACTTCTATAAGACAATTATCATTAAACTGACAAAATTTCATCCCAAAAAAAGTATTGGATTTAATAAAAATTTTATCAACTCCGTCAGTATATTGTTCATAGCAACATTTAGATATTTTATCATTTTCAAATTGTTTGTCTTGAGAATTTAAAAAAAAAAATCTATATAACTAGAGTTTTATCTTTAATCTACATGACTGTAATTTTCTGATTAGATGCGTTGTTTAAACAAGGTAACGAATATATTGTTTATGAAATCAACCAATCAACGAAAGCTGTGCAATGTAGGAGCGTGGCCTTATTTACTAGAAAAAGAAACAATGCATGCAGTAGAAGCAGGAAAAAAGTCAGACTTAATTGTAGTGGAAGAAACACATTTATCAAAATACAAGTCTAAAAAGATGTCATTATTTTTAAAGGATAAAGCAAGCGCGCATAAATCTGGGACACTCAGTGTCATTCATCAGTAACAAAACGTTAAATGCATGGCTGTTCAGCGTTTGTTCAAAGAAATATTTATTGTACAGTTGGAAAAAAATACATTAGGTTCGATCAAGATTTGATGCGCTTCCTACTATTACATGTGGCATAAATCCCGTCTTCAATTTTATCTAGCGATCGCAGCAAAATCCACTATCTTTTTTTTCCATTTACTCTAGGTAAAAAAAAATAAACTATAATCCAAGCAAACACTTGATCCTTTTTTTGTCGCTGAATGTTTTGCAGCTACTAGGTAGGTAGGTGGGTACGTAGGATGGGTTGGTAACGCGCGATTATGGAAGCACTCAAGAAATGTTTATTTTGTTTATGAAAAACAAATTTTTTTTACTGATCAAGGACGCAATCATTAAGTAAGTAAGCTGAAACATAGAAAATAGCGTTCGACTGCAGGAGATTGTTCTTGTTAAGTAAAAAAATTGAATAAAAGTGCCGAATACAAGTAAAGTGGATAACAAATCGAATGCAAAGAGAATGTTCGCAAACCGATGTTATTTAAATAAATGGGAGCACTTTTTTGTTTGACATACATACACACGACTCTTAATACCCATCCAAGCCTAGGTACCACAATCACATAACTAGTAGGCAATTTGTGGCAATATAAATATTGAACTTTAAAAAATAAATAGAAAGAGCAAGCATTGAATACACGTGTATGCGCGTACAAAGCAACCCAGAAACAGGTGTTTAAGGAGTCTGAACGTGTGTATGTGTGTTGGCACCCTCACTTTGCTGCGTAAACATCATTGCGCAATGCGCATATATTTCTGCGCACTCGCTGGCAGAGAAAAAAGTACTACTAGGGGACTCATTTTCGTAACTAATATACTTGATCGATTTCGAGTTATTAGAATTATAATTCGGTTGAAAAAATAAAAATTAGTGCTTTCTGGCTGATGGGTTCTCGAGCCTTTCACACACGACAAACGTATAGGAAAAACATATACCGCCGCAACCCACGAAAAAACATATATTAAACTCATATGTATTTATGTACCTTGTATTTTATAGTATACATGTGACTTCTACATATATATGCGAGAACTTCGTTTTTACCGAGGGACTTCGAGTCCAACACGTTTTTATTCTCAATTAATAAGGAAATAGTGATCTATTTTAGCATATCTTCCTACGATTCCGAGTGTGCTTACTTAAGACTAAACTATTTATTAGGTAATAAGTAATGGGGTACTTTTTTAAATACTTTTTTCTTATTTCATTTATTTTTTTCAGCAATAATAAACCAATAATTACTTACTTTAGCACCCTTTACTAGATGACCTTGTGCGCTTGACTTTTATTTAAACAACAAATAAAGTAATCTGTTTTTAGATAACATAGCGTTTTTAATTTCGTCTTAATCAAGTAACAAATTAGTAGTTTCTGCTTTTATCGCTATTTACTCAAAGACCCACTGTGCTTACGTTACGCATAATAAATCCAATAATAATGTATTCCACTTCGTTTTGCTCACGTATTAATCTATTAGTTGAATAAATATCTTTCTTGAAATAATAATTAACAGTTTACTTATTTTCAAAAATTTGTACAAAACGTCTCGTTGAATTTTTATTTTGTGTGGTGCTAGATTTACAATAAGAGTTTGATGTGCCCTCATGGATTTCATTAAAAGCCTGACAAATTCGTTTCTGACACTCCTCAGCAATGTTTATAAGTGTTTTGTACACTATCTCTTCAATAGAACCCTACAAGAAATAGTCTATCGGAGTTATATCGGGCGCACGAGCTGATTTATTTGTCCATTATGTCCAATCTATCTATCTCGAAATTATGCATCTAGGTGCTTTCTAACTATTGCAGAAAAGTGTACTGAAGCTCCGTCATGTTGGTACTATATAATTAATAGTACAGCCAAAGGTACATTTTCCAGCAGTTGTGGCAAATTGTTTTGCATAAAATGAAGATAGGCTTCACCGTTCAGCCTTTATAAGAGAGAGACTAGACCAATCTGTCGAAATTTTATTCTGCTTTAACACTTTTTTTAGTTTAATTTTAAAAAGCTTATTAGATTGAAATTGTAACATTCAAATTTCACGCAATATATTATTTAACATTTTTATTCCATATTGTAACGTAGGAATAGTACTAAGCATCACAAATAAAACTACTAAAATAACAAATGTTACTAAATAATATACACTTTTAAACACCAGGTGAGGTGATGAGAAAGCAAGGTTAATGTACATAATCTACACATATTTTACAGGGGACTTAACAAATACATACCAAATGATAATAATTTATATTTATGCCAATCGCAAGAAAAACAACCAATTTTTGTCTCTAAAATCGCATTCGAGACCCCACTGGTGTAGTTTGAAGAGCTAACGGTATACTTCTCTCCAATACGGTCTCCGTACGCAGAGACTCCGAGAGTAAGAGCCAAGCTACCCGCAGTCAGCTCTCTATCATCAAGAATAATAATAAGGAATGGCTAGAAATATCACCACTCACTCCTTTTAGGGCCATCATAAATATTCTCGTTTCCTATTTAATCATTAATCTGATCGGTTCTTTTTAGGTCCACCTAACGTTAGACGGCCTTGCCAATAAATATCTTTTTACTACCATTTTCGACAACAATTCGTCTACTGAGAGACTATATAAAGCTGACCACTATAAAACCAAGTCAGTCATTCACTGGCAGACGTCATGAGCGGAGTTGTTCGTCGTAAGGCTGGGAACCCTGGCCACCGATGACCCTGCATTACCCTCCTGACTTTAAGCATTCAAGGAGGAATTACTAATCCTCTCCGAGGTCTCTGCTAGGCGAACCTAACAGCTATAGAGGAAAAATAAACGGGAGTGAACTTGACAGCCTGATGGGCAAGCGTCAAAAACTAATCTCCCCACCTTAGGTGACCCAAACGACTGAGCTCTGCAAAAAAAAGGTGCTTGAGACACCGACGTCTCCGGCGTAATACCAAGAGACGTTGGGAAAGAGCTCTGCAACTAGCTCTAACGCTTTAGATGTTGTAGTTTTCCTCCTAATTAGTCTGGTACTCGAACATCAGGCCAGAGAAAATTGCCCTCAAGTATTCAGGCAGTCACGTTTGCTGGAAACTTCAGTCAAGAGAGTTTAGCTCATCGGTTCTTTTCAGGGCCATCGGACGTCGAACTACCTCCCAACAAAGACATTACAACTTAAGAAAATTGACAAAAAAGAGCCCTTAGGGCTCACAAAAGTCTTAACCATGCCTATAGTTTTTTTTTTTTTTATATTATAGCGCTCTACGTACCGCTCCTTTAATAAGGACACTACTATAGGCACTCAGCACTTCGGAAAGCGACAAGAAAAGGGATGGGAGGCCTTCCACAGGAGGGG